AAATATCAACATATAGATGTATATGTACATATACATACATAGTGTATGTATATGTATATACATGTATATGGCGTCGGAAAGTCTGACAGTGCGAAAGGGAGAGAGAGAATGGGATTGTGTGTCTGTCTGCATGTTGTGTGTGTGTGTGTGTGTGTGTGTGTGTGTGTGTGTGTGTGTGTGTGTGTGTAGAGGCTGAAAGAGAGAGAAAGACATGGGTGGCGAATGATATTTTGTCGACGAGATCTAGATTTTGTATTTTTCGCGCATTTCGCCGACGGGACGACGGGTGGTCTTGGGCCGTAACGCCATAGAGAGAGAGAGAGCGAGAGAGAATTATTGCCTAGGAATATGTTGTACGATGCGTAGAGAAAATGGAAAATTGCAGAAAATTGTGCGGATAAAAAAAAAAGAGGGAGAGAATAGAACGCAGCGCGTAAGTCGAGGGGCCGCGCGTCCGCTCTCGGGCAGGAAGAACGAGCGCAAAAAACGGGGTCGGTCGATGGCGCCGGCAGCTCTTTGCGAGTTGTATTTTCCAACTCGTGATAATCGAGCGGATCGTTCAAACTCGACGCTAAACGATACTCGTTTCACGTTAAGGATCGACGATGCATACAGCAGTAGTGTCTTTTTTTTTTCATTTGGAAAGACATAATCATATATTATCGCTATATTACCTTGCATTAATATAAATATATAAATATATATATGTATGTATATCGCATGGATGTATATCGGATCGCGCATCCGCATATACGTTCATATTATTCTATATACATATACGATATGTCACTGTACCGCTTTCTCTCCGAGATCGCTGGGAGGAAGGACGAGCGCCGAACGTCTCTCGCATTACCTTCGGAGGCAGACGGCATTGTGACATCGTCCTGTCTTCCCCGTTCTCGTGGACGAGCATCGTGCTTTCGCAAGGACGATCTTAGGGGGTTCCTTGCCCCCCCTCTCCCACCATGGTTAGACGGCGAGGGATCGGCAAAACCGCGACGTTCGTCCTTCGTATCCATGAGAGGGAGCTCGGTACGTGTCCCTACGACCCGTTTCTGCATATATAATCTCGTTTCGAAGAAAGACGAAAGAGGGGAAGGAAGCTAATCAAACGGGGGTTTCACAATGGGGCCCTAACGCGCGTGACAGGAGAGACGATACTACGAATTTTTACTCGAAACAGCAAACGCGATAGCTTAAACGTTAACCGCGGGAGGCGTATAATTCTTCCGCGCATTTCCGTTTTCCCTCGCTTCGATATATCGAGTTTACTCCAACGTCCCACTTTTCTTTTTAGCCCTCCCGTCATCGTCCCCCTCGATCTCTCCGCCTTCTCCTCTCCTCACCCCCCCTCCCCACCCCCGGCCCTGCTCCCACGTCTCCTTCGTCGTTGTCTGCATTTCTATTTTTTTATCAAAAGTTCTTGTCAATCGTTGCCATTTTTTAAACGAATATATGCTCAAGTCGCAGCTCCGAATAAGTCGAGATATATAATACATATTACATATATTATATATAAATATATATATTATATATATTTAAATCGCCCGTCTTGTGTGACGGACGTTGGAAGATGAGAGAGACTATTTTTTCCGATTTTTCTGAACACGAGAGACTCGGCCTTTTTGTTTATTTTTTTATTTTTTTTTAATTTCTTGTCGCGCGAAAATCTCTCCGTTCGCCGCGTGCCGCTTCGTTTCGTGTTTCTCCACTCCAGTTCCTTCGATTATTTCCCGTATATATACCGGCGCGATCTTCGTTCCGGGCACTCTTCTTCACGGACACACATGCGCACGCACTCGCTCCGCACGCGTGACACACGAACGAAGAATCGCACTCCACTCACGCACTCACTCCGCACGCGCTAAACGCACGCTAAAAATAAATTCGCGTACGCACGAGCCTCCGGAGGGTGCGCGAAAGACATGCGCGAACGATATTTGTACATTATTATTTGTTACTTGTATAACGCCACGAGTAAACACTTTCACGGACACCGACGCGAACGAGTACACACGCATACGTAACTACACAACCACACGCGCAACACGCGGAAGACACACCAATAACACGTTGATGCATAACAG